AAAATGACGGAGGCGCTGTCAAGCATCTCAAAAGATGAATTTAGACAATGTTTTGAAAAATGGAATAAAAGACTAGACAAGTGTATTAGTGTAAGTGGAGAGTACTTTGAAGGGGATTGAAGGTTTGTGCTTAAAATTTGAATAAATAAGTTTAAAAAAAAATAAGTTCGGTTTCTTTTGGGTACACCCTCGTATAAATAAAGGAATGAAACTTCACGTGTCCTGTGGGGATGCATTTTAGAATATCTCTATCATAGCCCTGAGAGTTGTGGAAGGGGACGGAAAGGGAACCCAATGCCTGTTGGTATAACTGGGCGAAACTGTCACTGGGGGACATAAATACACAGATCTGGTCCTCCAGATTGGTGACGGGACACAAGCCTCTTGACCTTGCTCTGTAAAAATTAGTGTTGGAAAATTCAAAGTGAAAACCAGATAGTCAAATTGAAAGCAGAATAGACAAGCCTGGCAGAATCTTCTAAGGGAGGCTATCATCCAAAAGGGCTGGTTTACCAATGATAATAATGATGATGATGATGATGAAGAAATTTCATGTATGAGATGTGTACATTGTGTGCTGCAGTATCTGTTGTGATATGTGTGTCTCTCCAGTCAAATGGAACCCAGCCTCATCTGAAAAGCTGTGAAGTCAAGATCAAGTTCATTATCATAAGATGATTGAAGATACTAGTTCCAAACATTATGGGACAATGGATGCACTGGATGGTTTAATGGGCCCATAATCTTGTCATGACAGTCTCTTTTGAAATGCCCATTTCTTGTGTAAGGCTTCTAAGAAGCATATAAGGCATACATTTATGCTCAGTTCTGATACTGTCCAACTTTTCTTTGTTTATATTTGACACTGACATTTTGGTTTCTTGTCTGTTAAGAAACCAGTTGTTCTTACTTTACTGACATGATGCTGACTAGTGTTTTTACTGGGCACGCTAATTCTGTGAATATTTCTTTGGAATTTTGTCTGGCACTTCCTAGTGGACTTACAATTCATGTAATATTCATATATATACATATAACCTTTGACTGAAAAGATTGGTGTAGTGGTAACACTCTTGACTTGCACTCAGGTGGGGCTTCGTTTGAATCTCATCTGGGTCAATGGTTATCCTGACCGATGACTTTTTGTTGTTTTCCTCAGTCCCTCCAGGGAAATGCCATGATAGTACCTTGAGCAGGCCACTACTGCTTTCTTCCAAGTCCTTTCCAAATTATCATTCAACATTATATAGTCTAGCAACTGAAATCATCATTCAATAGTTCACAAATAAAGAAATAAAATATGTGATCTTTGATACTCTAGTATAAATATATACATGTCCAAGAGAAAAGAAACTTTATGAGAGCCATAACAAAATTATTGAAATAACAACCTTACATACCATAGTTGTGCACAAAGTACACATACATGCACACATACGATCCAGTAATTTCTGTAACTGACATCTAGAGTCAATCCACAATGACAAGGCTGATTCCATGTTTTCATATTTTTCAACAGTTCAAATGGATACATAGGGTAACAGACAATGGAGTATATATAATCCACATTTTACAGGTGCACTTCCAAGCCATGTTGTAAAAGTTGGTATTTCGACTGTGCTGATGGTAAGGGGGTATGTGTACCTTGTGTTTTATGCAGTTATAATTAATTCAGATATATATGGCAAATTCTGTCTTTTTTTCTGTTGGTTACGTTCCAGTTACTTGAAAATAAATAATCATATTCTAGAAAGCTGCAAGTTTTACTGAATAAAAATTCATATGAAAATGTAGGTTTATGGAAAAAGGCCATATTAATATGACTTACTTTGGAAAATCACACGGATACGCAAACTTTGGGACAGATTTCAAAACCTCTTCATCTCTGTAGCTTTCTGGAAATTTTTGAATTATCCATGCTTCCTTGTCTGGTGATTGCTGACCAACAACTTCACAGAAGCACTGAAACAAGTGCTTTACATTGTCCCTAAAATGAGCAGAATTTTAGTAGACAAAAATTTTTCCCACTTATACGAAAATGTTGAATTCCATACACTTCCTAAAAATTACTTTCCTCCTTACTTTGATCTAGAGTAATTTCAATTTTTTTTTGCAACATTACACAAACATAAAGGTAAATGCATACAATTTCGATTACATACCGTATTCTTGATCCCATTTTCGTGACAGAACGGAGGACACCCCGTTCATTTTTGGTATTCTTGTGCTACTTAACTACATTCCAACTCCACCATAATTACACTATACTTCACAGCTCTTACGCGAAATACACAAACCACGGATTACTAAATATTGTTAACCGGCACAGATTAATGATACCACAAATTCGGATCTAACGTTCACTATACATTTCGTTATCCGAAATCCACCCAAATTTCGTGTGCTGCACTGTAATCTAAATTGAGGCAGCCTAATCCGATTTAACGCTAACGCATACAAGCGTGGCAGTAACAATAACTGGATAAGAGTGGTCTGTTGCGTTAAGCTAACCCCTTAACCTGCTATTGCGCAGTCTCAAAAACTCAAAAAGTACTTCTCCAATGAGTATGGAGGTGCATAGTTCGGTGCTTAGTGTAGTGCAAGCTTAACTTAACAAAATATACTTTGCTCAGTCTTGCCAATTGTTGCCCCAGTGAGAAGGTCAGAAGGTAGTTGATGCGCAGTGGCGTGTTGTGCAAACCTAACCTAACCTGTCTAAAGTCTCCTTAATGAGGTGTGGTGTCTCGCTTGAAGTTTATTGCTACAGTTTCGTCTCCATCGCGATTTTGGCTGTTCATCGTTTTATTATTGATTGTAATAAACTGAAAGTTATGACTTTGGGGTGACATATCTTTCAACCAAATTCCGTGAAATCTGGAAAACGTGTCAAAATCTGCGCGTAAGGGAGTCTTGACTGTCTTGATAGATATAGCCTGTCGGACCAGTTCCACGGGGCTAAACATATTTAATTTAAAAAATGTTCACGAAATATATGTACAGCTAACATTTGACACGTTATTCGATATGTGTTTGCTGGGTATTTCCGAATGTAGCTGTTGGTACATTTGGACCCTGAAGATCGCGCTGAAGCGCTGAAGACGGACGACCTGAATTCATAACGGAGGCAAATTGTTAATGATTTCAATAATTATATTTAATTTCGGATATACAGACAGGGGGAAGACGCTTTTGTTGGCTATTGAATGTGCACAGGTTTGGTCGTGTTAGGCATGCTGGAATACATACATGTAAGCCATTATTAATGTACACGGATCAACTAGTAACGACAAGGAAAAGCATATCCATGTCTGCCTTATAAATCAACTCCCTCTGGTGTTGAGTCCCATGAATTGAAACATTTGCTCGTCGCATATTTTAATGTTGGTGGAAGGGGAAATTGTTTTGGTGTGGGAAGAGCGGCGTACTCAAGAAAGGGCTGTCTTTTCCTTTTTGCTTATTACGGAATTACCAGTTCTGTGTTTTTAAGAATGATGTTAAGAGTAAAGGAGTTAAGGAACATTTTTCCAAAGGCACCGTCCGAAATTGCTGCTTTTATTTTCGTAATCTGCATAATACCTACTATATATTGGTTTGAATTGTGTGTGGTTATCCCATCATTCTATCCCGTTTGGTCCGTTTGGTATAATGTACACTTCATATGTGGCACATTTCTGATGTGCAATATAACAGCTAACTTCGTAGCCATCGTGTGTGTTGATACAAGTGTCAAAGGCATTCTGTTGCAATCCACGCTACAGCCCAAGTGGCATTTCTGTTCAGTTTGTGAATCAGTTTCCCCTCCACGGTCATGGCACTGTGAGACCTGTAACACGTGTATTATTAGGAGAGATCACCATTGTATGTTTGCTGGGTGTTGTATTGGACATTACAACTATAGATTCTTTTTGGCATTTGTGACACATTTATTTATTGCAACAGTATATGCCACATATTTCAACAGTTATTTTATGTGGGAGATAATCGATTTTCAAGCACCAATGGCACTACTAAAAGTAGTTTTTCCCTTGGCAATGGTGGCATTTGGAATTGATGTTTCAGAAAGTCAGTTGTGTTTAATACTTTTCTTAGTTAACATAATGGGTATGCTCTTTATGGCAGCTTTACTGGCGTTTCATATGAACTTAATATGGCATGGAACTACTACTTATGAAAAAAACCACAGAATAAGAGACTATGATTTAGGATGGAAACAGAACTTCAAAGATGTGATTGGAGAAAACTGGATTTTGGCTTGTTTCATTCCATTTGCCCAGCTAAAGTTACCATGTGATGGCATTCACTGGAATACCAAATGTATGTGGCAGTTGGAAAGACCAAAAAACAGATGATTTTTTTCTTTTATATTTTGTTTCAAATATGATCTAGAAATATGAACTTACTGAGTACTTAGCAACTTATTTTATTGTGATTAGTATGTGGAATATGTAAATTTTATAGTGTGTTCATATTTTTCAATTGTTCACCAATTCAATTATATTGTATTTGAATATTTCAGATTGGAATATTTTTTTATAACAGCAACACGGGTATAACTGGAGGGTTGAAGTAAAAATTTGGGACCAACAACATTTCCTTGCGAAAAATAGTTTTGATAACTTGTGACTGTTTTCCAGAGATTTGTGTGACCTGAAGTATGGGACCTATATATGTAATAAGCAAACCAAAGGAGTTTACATATTTCTGTGACCACCATATTTAAAAACTGTCATGCTCTCCTGAGTGGTTGAATTTGTAGCTACTAGCAAGTGACATTTAATTTGTTGGTAGTTCATCAAGGCTTTAATGTTTTTGCCACATGTTAGAATATGGGTTCGTACATCATTTGTATGTTTTTGTGCTGTAGGCAGAAATGTTCAGTTATATTGCAGCAGACTGCACCATTATCCAGGAACCTCAAATCCCAAAAAGAATATGAAATCATACTAAGAATTATTTATCCAAACCACATAACAGTGGTTGCACAGTGTATGTAAATAATACTAAAGATAAGGTAAAGTTGTCCCTGTGCTTAGGTAATTAAACACTACACCGTGAAGGTGTATCGGGGAGTAGATATATTGATGCAAGTTTTCTTGACCTTGGCACTAGTTGGAGGTGACTGGTCAGCTTGATGCCCCAGCTGCTGTACCCCTGGGGAAAGAGCCCCCTTTACCAATTGGATAGGAGGCAGGTTGGGCCCCACAGCCGGTCTGCACAACATGGAGAAGAGAAAATTCTTGACTCTTCCAGGACTTGAATGCCGAACCCTCATCCATGCAGCCTGTAGCCAGTTGCTATACCGACTGCACTGTCCTGAGTACTGAAATTAAGCTGATTAAGTTGATATGACATGGAATGACCTTAATGTAGCCTCTCCTTACCTACTTCTCAAGGCACAATAGGTCACTGTGGTTGCAGTGCAAGGGCCAAGAAGGCCCACCCCTTATACATTCATTCATTCATACCTACTTATCAAAAACTGAGTGCAGTAAAACAAATTAAGTAAAATTTAAATATTTGGAAACTAATAATGATTTAATGTGGTGTGGGCCGCACCATAGCTCAAGCGGTTAATTGCTGGCTTCCCACCGTGGAGGCCCGGGTTCAATCTTGGGTCTGGTCAAGTGGGATTTGTGGTGGACAAAGTGGCACTGGTGCAGGGTTTCTCCGAGTACTTCGGTTTCCCCTGCCAATCGTCATCCCACCAATTGCTCCACAGTCACCCTCACCAATCATCTGGGGCTGGTACAATAGGCCAGAAGTGGCCGCAGTACAAGGGACTTAGTCCCACCCCACTAGCAATTAAAAAAAATACTGTGTGGTAATGGGTGGTTTACATTGATCCAGATAACATTACAATGGGAGAATCTTTCCTGACTGGAAAGGGAACGCAATTATGAGATCAGTAACAGGTTTTACAGGTCTACCAGATGAATAAAACTTATGTAATGCAAAAGGAACAGACAACACAAAGAAATCTGAATAGATGGATATTTTGTTTTGAAGCGTAAGACTCGTGGCTTATGAGTATGAAATAATAATGTGAGTGGGAATTTTGGAAGTGTTCCTTGTTTACTCTTAAGAGTGATTAAGTCTAGGATCAGATGAGCAGGACATATAGCATACATTGGTGAACCTAGAAATGCATACAGAATTTTGTTTGGATAATCTCAGGAGTGATTGTGCGAGGTACATACACATAGCTGGGGGGATGATATTTAAGTGGATATTGCAGGAATAGGTTGTGAACTGTCCTAAGGTAGGAACCAGTAGCAGACTTTTGTATTATGTAGGAATGAACTCTAAGGTTCCATACCAGTTAAATAACTATCAACTTACAAAGCAAAATGCTGTGCCATAGTCTAGTTACAGTGTAACTGTTCATAAAAAAGTTGTACATATTTGTTCCACACATATTTGCTGTCAGAAGGGGCCAGATAACCAATGTGAACTGCACACATTCTTAAATCAAAAAGCTTTTGACCATCCCTCTCTTTGGGATTCCGTTAAAAAATCTTGAATAGTTCAGAGACTTTTATGATACTATATTTTATTCACAAACCATGTTAGCATAAACTGTAATGTACCTGACTTGTATTCAGATAATACATTGAACTCCCAGTTGTCCATTATCCAAGCAACTGGGATTCTCATCCAGAAACAATTTCAAATACATTTTCTTATTGTTATTCAAAAACAAGTTTGCGATGGACATGTTTTCATCCATCACACACGATTCTCATAACTGCCATTAGCACTGCTGTCCATCATCCTCCCTCATGCAGGTAGGGGTTGAATTTGTCATCATGTTGCAGTATATGTATCCAAAATCTTTCACGCATTAATGTAATGTGTCACCTAGGAAGACTCCTATGCAAGAACTCCAACAAAGACATGTTTTGACTCTGTGCTGGGTTTTTGCAAGTTGTATTGTCATGTAACCAGCCCACTCCATTTCCCATACATGCTGGATAATACACCTGGTCCAAGTGCTGCCTGGATGGAAATGTAATAGTCAAATATGAGTTTACTAGCTTGAAAACTGATGTAAATAACAACAGATTGCATACCGAAGTAGAAATACATTTTTATGTACTTGGTATGTCAGTGAATATGCTGCTGTATAGATGACACAAGTGAAGTAACAACCTTGAGTGAGAACATCTATTGTGTATTATTTATTCATGAACACAAAGTGTTTGATTCTCTTACTGTTGTAAGTTGTTCATTGCATGTATCAAGTGATGTACAGTATTATGTGATTTAATCATATTTTATCTTTGCATATAGCTGATGCATATTTTTGTATCTTCTATGTTTTTTAACTGTTGCTGTTTGTGAGTTTCTAATATCTTCATTTTATGTAATAATGAAGCAGTCTTCTGATCTGTTTCATATCTTACGACGATGCAAACTACAGCACAGCACTGAACATGTACAGTTATGTAAATATACATATAAAACTGCAGTTCTGTGTTCTTTACACTGGGTTTCAGTGGATCAATGTTTAGTTTTAAAATTTAAATATAGTATTGTAATATGACAAGCAGCTCTTCCAAAATGCGTGTAGCTAGAAGATTAAACTCTATGCAAGGTGTTTTATATAAATGTGTCTATTTGTAATTGTTCATAACTGTTTGAAGTATAAGTAATATATCAAAATGATATAAACAAAAGAAAATAGGGGAAGAATGGTATTTTTATAAATAATTTGTGGAATAGTCATGTACTTTTATTATTACTAATTGCATGATGTAATAAAAACCTGTGTATAATTTTCTTTCTTCCCCGCTTAGTAGACTTTGGAATCTGGACTACAGGCACAGTAATTTCTTAACCACAGCCAGAAAATGGACACCAGTCTGAAATTTATATTAGTATTACTTACCACTGTATTTACATGCTTGTCCTTGCATTCTCTGACAGGGCTGCATAAAAATTACTACTATACTTTTAATTATGCAATGTTGCTATAGATTATCACATGTGTACAATTAATTTTTCCTACCTGACAAATCATGCCACTCTAAATCACAAATTGAGTAAGATGACAAAGAGCGCTGTGCCATAGCTCAAGCAGTTAGTCGCTGGCTTCCCACCACGGTGGCCTGGGTTCAATCCCGAATCTGGTCAAGTGGGATTTGTGGTGGACCAAGTGGCACTGGGGCAGGTTTTCTCAGAGTACTTCGGTTTCCCCTGGCAATCTTCATTCCACGAATTGCTCCACAATCACCCTCACCTGTCATGTGGGGCTGGTACAATAGCCCAGAAGTGGCCGCAGTACATGGGACTTAGTCCCACTCCACTAGCAATAAAAAAAGATGACGAATATGTTGAACAAAAGACAGTACTTTGTACTGCTGCATGAAATTGGTAATATTACAAGATTGTTTCACTTTGTGCATGAATTCATTGTGGCATTGAAAACTACTGATGCAGAGAAGTTGCAATAATTAGAAAAGGCATAAAGCAGGATTGTTGTTACATGATAAACAAAGAATAAAAACAGAAGAGATTTCCTATTACTTACCTGGAATTAGCAGCAAGAGGAATTCCTCTGCTTTTATATAAATTCATGGATTATCAAGAGCATAGCTTCAGAGCAGGGTTTCATTGTAGGTTTAGAATGCAGTCTTTTCCATGAAATCATGAAAGTATGCTGAAGTTGAGAAGTGCATGTTCCTGCCTAGTTACATACCTTTGGTTCCATAGAACACTGGGAATTTTACTGTGTGACTGTTTATTCTGAAACCCTGAAGGGAGGAAACCACTTTAAAAACATGAACACGGATATCAAAGTTTATAAACTTTATAAATCTTAAGTTTCTATAACAGCAAGAAATTTCTTCTCTGTATGAATAACAATCAAACTACTGAAGGGAGACCCCATATTATTTAGGATACCCAGTCCTGGCCAGAACTGAAACCAGATACTTCCTGATTATGAAGTGGGTGATATATATGGCGACATGTTTAGAAATAGTAAAATTAAACATGGTAAAATGTATGAAATTGTTTAATCTTATATGTATCTGAAATTCTGTATAAAATTCATAAAAATATTTAACAAATTGCACTCACTAATATAAATTAAAATTAGTGTTAATAACAAGTGCTGAGTATTTTAAAACTTCACTGAACATTAATTTCTTAATAAATCTTAAGCTCTAAGAGTGGCTTAACGCCATGGGAATCCTCTCCCATATTTTGCACTCGGTTATTATGAAGCAAGTGTATTTGCATATATGCAACCTACAATTTTTATATAAATTGACTGCAGTAGTATACAGTATACTTAGACACACATGTACAAGTGAAACTACCTGATGGTGCAGTATTTGAATGCAGCCAATGATTATAATCAGTTGTCAAACACAAACAGAAAAGCTTGACAGAAAATGGGAAATATTTCAAAGAAACAAATGCTGAATTAAATGGCAGTAACAATGTGTGGCTTGAAGTGTATATTCTTAGGGGCTTCACTGGGTATGATTTGTATACGCTCTGGGAGTTCATTCTTCAGCTTTCATCGTCATCCTTATCCTTACAGTTTTAAGGCAAATTTGCCTATTGCACACGCGCACACAAATTTTCATGCCTTTATGTCAGTACTTCAGGACGGAGGCCATTCGATTAGAGATGTCACATGAACACTGGTCCAGTTCTCAGTGGTTATACAGCTATGGGCATGCTGGAAGCTCAGTAACAATTCACACATAACTATTGCATTAGCCTGAATATAAGGCAATGCCTCCCCCCACCTAAATACTGCTTACAAAAGAGTGATCACTTTATTTTCAGGTCCTTCAGAATAAACATTATGATGATGATGATTACTTATAATTGCTAATTCTAATGATATTTGTGGCACAGTTCAAATATTTGGGAATGACTATAACAAATCAAAACATAATTCAGGAGGAAATCTTTTGTCTTCTCATCTGCTGTCTAAAAACATAAAAATTTGAGAACACAAAACTACAGTTTTGCCTGTGATTCTGAAACTTTGTCTCTGACATTAAGGGAGGAAAGTTGACTGAGGGTGTTCTCAAACAGTGCTGAGGAGAATATTTGGACCAAAGAGGGATAAAGTGACAGGAGATTGGAGAAAACTGCATGATGAGGAGTTTCATAACTTTTACTCTTTGCCAAATATAATTAGAATGGTCAAGTCAAGGAGGATGAGATAGGTAGGGCATGTAACATGAATGAGGGAAAAGTGAATTGCATATAGGATACTGGTGGGAAAGAGACCACTATAAAGACCAAGACATAGGTGAGTGGATCATATTAAAATAGATCTTAGAGATACAGAATGGATTGGATTGATCTGGCTCAGGATAGGGGCTTCTGAATATGGTAATGAACATTCAGGTTCCATAGTATTCCAGAAAGTTCTTAAGTAGGTGCGGAATTGGCAGATTCTCAAGAAAGGCTCAGCTCAATGAGTGATGAGTGAATGGTATTTGAAAATACCTCAAATTATATTGAAGGTATTAGAGCTTGAATTTACTATTTCATAATAGTATGGGGTCTGTTTTTGATTACAACGCCCCCAAGCAAATGACACAATGAGTTTTGTAAAAAAACTTTTGATTTTCTCATTGGAAGAACAGGAGGTTGCCTTATAAGATTTGTGTTCTTTTACTGTCTGACAGCTTAGACCATGTGGTGTCCCATGAAAGAAATGGTTTATGAACACAAAGCTGGAGCCACTATGTAAAGTTTTAGATACTGCAAGATGCATAAACCTTGCAGTTCATAGTAAGGTTACATACTCAACAGGAAAATGAGCCAGAAAAGTGTATCCGAGCTGAAGGTAGCCACTTCAAACATTCAATTTAAAAATAATTATACAATGCAGAAACTTGTTCCATGGAACAGCTTAGTTATGTGTAATTCATTCTTGAACTTCAAATACTATACGTACAGTTCCACATTGTTGTGAACTGGACGCATGACATTCCTGCCTGGGAATTAATAAATAAAAGATTAGATAGCATGGGCATGTTTGAAGAATGGATAGAGAGAGAATCCAAAGGAAGTTATGAATATGAAAACAAAAGAACACCTAAGAACAAGACATATGAAGATGGTTAGAAAGTTAACATGCAGATGGAAGGAAGCACATGGGAGGAAATTGTTGAGGAACTTCGGCGAGAGAGAGGAAAAGGCTTAGTTCTTAAGATGACCCACATAAAAGTGGAAACAAGGAAGATGTGATAACTGATTGGGAATGGCCTCAAAAATGAACTGAAATATTCACAAGTCATGGGATACCCTGTCTGTTTCGCATCTTATTCTTTCTACAGTATTGTATAGAACTATTGTAAGATAATACATAGAATACTACTATTTGTAATGGGTTTCATGTGATAAGAATCTTCTCGGGTGGCTAAGAGTGTCAAATAAGACTCTAATTCTGAAATGATGTCCGAAAAGATTTTATCACTTAGTTGCCATGAAAGCATGAAGTCTGTATGATTTTCATGCTTAGTGGATAAGTGAAAAATGTTTTACATGCAGTTTAAACTATATTCAATTCAAAGTCTGAGTTAAAAAATGTTAGCGTTTGCACACAAGTCTTCCTCATTCTGTGCCACTGTTCCTATATGAAGTCAAAAAGGGTTGTCTTTGGAACCCTTACAAGGAAATGTATTTTCATAATATCATGTTTTACACAAGACTGAAAAGAGAACACTTACTGGCAACCGTTCAATAAATTTTTATCATTCTTTTACACCAAGATTACTTCATTCCTTACCATACACAGTTCTTTGCATGTATATATCCAGCACTGCCTTCATTACTTTCAGTGGTATTTTTTCTTCAGAATTTCTTGGATATTGCAATAGTTTGTGTAACTGGTGGAAGAGTGCTTTTTCATGGTGATGGAACTGTACAACTTATTACAGTAAATACCAGTAGCTTAACATTATAATTGTTATGAAGCATGTGCAAGAATGACTTCTTCAGTTCCAGAAGACAATTTGGAACCATGTTGAGAACAAGAAGAGAATGAATATTTTTTGTACTAGGTCAATTTTTTCACTGTGATCACAGTTCATAACACTAGCAACTTTTCACAATGCACTAAAAAGTACTACTTTCCCTGCTTATATCAGATCGTTATTTTGTAGATCTTTATGTCCAAAATGAATACAGTTCTTGGGCAAAATAAGAAAGAGATCTGACAAATTGATTTGTGCTAGTATTTCCAACCATTATGATTCCGAAGGATTGGATCATTTATGTGCTACTATGCAATATAAAGGAGTTGCGCGAATATTTTCACAGTCTCAGACTGAAAAATTAACATTCAAATAAAAATATTTTCTTCTAGACTTGAATGTGAAACTTTGAGGCTTATGCACATCTGTTATGTGTGTGCCCAATTTGAAGTCTCTCATAAGAAATCATTTAAAGATCATTAATCAACACTCCTTAAGTGCTGATGAATTAGACAGACGGAACCAGTATTTCACTCGTTAAGTATCACAATATTATACTTTTTAAAACAAATTTTTTCTTTGTAAAGAAACAATGAAGTACATTCTCTTCATTTTAGAATTGCAAAGATACAGAGCCTGAGACATATAAAAGATGGCACATTTCAAGTATTTGCTGTTTACAGCAACTGAGACCTATTAACAGTGGAACTTTGGCAGTACAATCTTCAAAGAATCAACAATAAACATGGCAAATACTTTAAAAGCTAAACATCAGTATACTTAAACTTCCTGTTTAACTAGTTAAGAATGTGTAATGTACTGACACAGCTGGTGACTGATGAAAAGTACACATATGTTCATTTTTATTCTTAGATCAATTATTCTGAAGCATAACTCATAAGCTAATGGACTCAGGAAACATAAAGACACGTACGGGTATCTTTTTTTTTTTACTGCTAGTGTATCCCTTGTACTGCAGCCACTTCTGGCCTATTGTACCATCCCCAGATGATACGTGAGGGAGATTGTGGAGCAATTGGTGGAATGAAGATTGACAGGAAACCAAAGTACTGGGAGAAAACCTGCCCCAGCGCCATTTTGTCCACCACAAATCCCACTTGACCAGACCCGGGATCGAACCCGGGCTGCCACGGTGGGAAGCCAGCGACTAACCGCTTGAGCTATGGCGCAGCCCATACGGGTATTAACATGAGGGTTACTAATTAAGGGAAAGAAATAAACCAACAAAAGTCCACTGCACCCTAACATCACAGAATACTAACTAGAAACAGAGCTACAGCGGCCTGTGACACGATCTGATCAATCACTGTAGCAGTTAACACTTGCGTAACGCCTCACATGAATGCAGCATCATCCTGAGCTTCATTTGTTCTTCTGTTCTGAGATCGTGTCTGGAACAATTCTCGAATAAGTGACGCCTTCTCTCTCTCTAGGGCTGTGATCCGCTCACTTTTTTTGCTCACTTCCTGCAACAGAAATATCACTAGTTTGCACCACAGATGTACCAAAACACACTATTATATACAATGATTCCAAGCTTTTAAAAGATGATAATGCATATTATGTACATCTTTGTGGAAGGTAATTTTATGATAGCTGATTCTAATTCTTTCAACATGACTGTACTGTAAAAATTAAATATGAAGTGCTAGAATTTTATGGTAAACAGCGAGATTTGTGTTTTGTCTGACCACAGTATTGGTGTTACCTCTGTAAGGAGATGGTTTTGTTGTTTAAGACGTGACAGAATATCATGAGGTGCTAGACTTGCATGATGAACAGCAAGATTCATGTGTAGGGGCAGTCCTCCACGCTCCCAGCTGTCTGTCAGAGTGGCAAGGTGCCTGTTCACTTCTAGAACTCTGGCTCGTTGTAGCTCTAAGCGTTCTTGCTGTGCTTCAGTCCACTGCTCCTGCATCCAACATAGATGCTTATTATTATCAGTTCAGCATCTGCTATTGTAATTACATATCAAATGTGATATGATAGTATCATTATCAGTTGTGAATTGGAGGTCTGAAGCAATTATAATGAATTTTAAGGTCCTTTCATGCAGTTAGCCTGGAATAGCTCATAAAAACCGCAGAAGCCTCTATATAAAACTTACAATTTAAAACATTTCTATAAGGTGTTTTTGATGTGCTCTTCACTGACAGTACTAACCATATGAGATCCCATTCTTCCTAAATACTTCATTTTTTCTTGCACTGCTGCCACCTGTTTTAAGTACCATTCTCTGGCTCTTTCAACTGCCTGTAAACCTTGCATCAGCACATCTTTCTCCTGTTCAATCTGCTTCATTCTTTTCAACTGAAACACACAACACTCTATAAACAAGTCTCCTTTATTATTTCTCTCTGCAGAGGCTATTGTAATAAGATAACATGTCACACATTTCAGACTCAACTCAGAATTTTATCATCTACCAGATGAAACTTGAGAACTGCTTGCAATATGTCAACTGGCTCAGAACAATAAAACCAGCAGCCCCCCCCCCAAAAAAATACTGACCAGCATGGTCAGATTTAACTACATGTAATCAAATAACTTATTCACAATTAAAAGTACAGGTCTCCCTAGGTTTGCAAATGCTTGATTTATAACTTTTCACTACAATGAAGTTTTAATTTGAACCTACCCTTTCACTTAACTTCATTTTTGCTACAATGAACAACTTACACTAATAAGTTCTGCTACTTTTACATGTAAATTAATGGGAATCTCATTTTCAATTTGTGAATTTTCACTTTACAAACAGTTTCAGTGAAACAAATTACCTCCGTAAATCAAGGGATACCTGGATAATCCCACAAAATTTTTAATATATATATATATATATATTTATATCTTAAATTGTGATATTACAAAGATTCTACTGTAATCTGATCTCTATATATACAGTTTAAATGAAGTTCTACCAGTTTCTATGCTGTTTGCTTAAAGTGACTCTATAATACTACTAATATTATACCATGTTATAATCAATTCCATTCTGCAATGTATGGCGCCGTGGCTCTCTCCTTCGTCCTGTCATTTTTTTGTGAGGAACTCCCACCTGATCTGGCTGACCTGAATAATGGTAAAGACACCAACACCTCAGTTTAATATTATGCTATATTCCATGCTATATTAATTTGAAAAGAAAGAAAATAAAATTCCTTATAAGTAAGGAAACATCTGAAACAGATATGCAGAAATGACAACTTCTACTAAAGAGCTTTAAGAAGATTTTATATTTTGAAGTAACCTTTTCTTATATCAATGTAAATATGTTAACAAAATTTTATGTGCAAATGCTGATAATACATTTTCTGGAATATAGTAATTTTCTAGTTTAGATATATGGTATACCAAGGCCTACTGCAGGTATGATCTACATACCAGAAGGTTTTCCATCTCCTGATCCCCGTCCACCCTGTGAACTTCCTGTGTAACCCATGGTTTTCGTCACTTCATGATCATTCATCATAATACCCATCTGCCAGTTCTGGAGAGCTGTGCGTATTTCAGCTTTATCCATGTTCCTCTCTGTCCCCAGATTTCTTTCACTATTTGTGACAAGCATGGCCCTCTCCAGTCCAGCAGCTGTTCGGGGTGGTTTAGGAGGGCCATAAAGTATGCCTCCAGGCTTCATGCTGGGCATTATGAGTTTTGCATCACTTGCATAGTTCCTCAGCTCATTTAGATCTGGCTGAATGTTCTCCTTCCTCTCTCCAAGAAGTTGAGGCATGCTCAGAGTCCTCTGCTGTGACATTGCATTGTTGGGGTGTACAGTAGCAGTGTTAGCTGTAGTCCAGGACTGTTTTGGTGATGACTCAACATCAAGAAGTGGAGCAGATGGGGGACGAATTGGCTGAGGCGGATTGGAGCATTCAGCTTTGTGTGACTGGCCTCGTGTGCTCTCTACTTGATTCCGAAGCAGACATATTTTCAGACCAGCACAGAATCTTTCGAAAGACAGTAGACCATTTGGTGGAGTAACTTTCTGCAAACTGTCAATGACTCCTTTTGGAAGACCTTTGGTTCCATCATCCTGCCAACGATTTTCAATTTCTGGAAGAAGAAGAAAAAAAAAACATTCAGCTCAAAGTAGTACGTTATTATGCAAGACGTTATGTGCCACAAACCATCAGAGCATTAGCACTGGCTATGAAGATTAATACAGACTACATGGAATCACCTCCCAGAAGACTGTAATCTTGGATCTATTCTGTTCAAAGAAAATACTCTTGTGACCCTGTATATTTGAAAATAATTTGAATATTCTTATTTCTGGCTACCTGAAAACTTGACATAGCCCGTCCTTTTGTCATCCATTATATCAAAGAGTGTCCGCATTGCTACCACAAATTGCTTCGGTAGGCCATCGAGTGTTGCAGACTGTGGTTGTGTCATGGCTTCCTGTAAATATTCAGTTCCAAAAATTAAGGATGTCACAACTTGGTCTTGGTCATGAGGAATGTTATCTGATATCAAGACTATGTTTTGTAGTTTTTTTTTTGGGGGGGGGGGGTGGAGTCCTGCTGGGTCCACTCGGCATGGAGGCCACTGATTGGCCTATTATACCTGCCCTGGATGATCATGATGATGGAGAATTTGGTGGAATGAAGATTGGCAGTGGAAACCGAAGTACTTAGGGAAAACCCACCCCAGCGCCACTTTGTCCACCGCAAATCCCACTTGACCAGATCTGGGATTGTTTACCCTGGACTAGAGTTGTTAAAATCTAAAAACTGTAGACAAAATGAAATCACTACATTTCAACAGAAGCCAGTGGTCTCATCATGCAACCAGCATGCTTTGAGATGACTGCACTGACACTCAGCTTGTTTCAATGTGCCAGATTAAATCAAAATGATTTATCCCCTCCACTTTACAAAACAAAAGCTGTCTGATTGCAGAACATATTTTTGTAAGGCAGGAAACATTTTCTCCAACTTGTATTTAGTATTATCATCATCAGTAATTTATTTAACAATGCTACTACATGGCATCAGATCCCAGAAGACTGCATTTTTCAATTAGTAAATTATTACAAATACATCCTGGTAAATGGAAAGTCACCATGATTCAATATGAAATGCTTCTACCACATTTCCCTTGAAGAATGTGCATAAATCAAAATAGAAGAAAATGAAATAAAAATCAAACATAAATTACAATCATAAATCCCATTAGCATCCTTATGTGAAACTGTCAACAAAAAAGAATGAAAGAAAGAAACCAGCATATCAGAAGACTATGATTTGCCTCCAAATTCAAAACATCCCATCCTTATGATTCTTCTGAAGTATAATAATTTCTTGGTGTCTCTGTACCATAACCCATAAAAATCATTTCACATTTCTTTCTCTTGCATCAATCTGCAATCAATTCAATTAATTGTGTATTCTTACAATTCATGTGTGATATTTCAGCCCATCATTACACTGACATTTCCAAAATATGTGAATACCTTTCAAGCAAAGTTCCAAATTGTGATTCGGATGGAATTCTGAGCAAAACTATCAGTTCTTGAATCTACTATCCTCATCTTTGCATCTTCTTCAAAACGAAATTTTTCCTTAAGTAGTCATGCAAATATAAACCATTCTATTCACATGGGGATAAAATATAGGTAACAAGCAAATCCTTGTTTGAAGAGTTAGATCCTCTGGGATAAAATGCCATGTGGTTGCCTCTGAAAGTCAACTGATATTTCTGGCGAACATCATCCCCTCTATCTTCACGGTCGAAGAATAAGTCAAGCAAGAAACCAGCGTGAAAGCAAGTGGCAAGCCGAGCAGACAGGTTCCTCCAAAACGTCAGTTGACATTCAACTGGCTACACAGCAATATATATATTTCATTGCTATCGATGTGGGAACCTGGAATCCTATGGCCTTAGTTTACAAGACAGATGTTAAACACTCACTCTGAGAAGCATTAATAATTCGAGAACTACTGTCCAAATTCTTTAATGTTAAGTCTGAAACTTCCATAAAATATGATGGAAGGAAAAGTATCCATCATATTGCCTCATGGGCAGTTCGATTATGCAATATATTATTGCAAACATATAATGCATAAATTTCTCTGCACGTCCAAGAAATAAATCTGAAAACTGACTTTATGAGTTTGGTGCTGTAAAGAAACCTAGATGTCCACATTTTAAACAAACTTTTTGGGCCCCATAGCAACGGATCCGATTACTAAAACATGTATTTCAAAATTAAATATTTCCATAATTTTCAATCTGCTGTTTCCTTCTTACACGTATCTGGCAACATACCTTACCTGCGTTCAGAGCGTTCAAACAAAACTAGCCTGCAAAAATTTGTAATTCGCACATGTTTATGTACTTTACTCCTTCTGGCTTCAAATGGCTACAGTAACTTGCAATAACTATTTTTGTAACTTTAATGAAACAAAGCCACAATTAGTACTTACACTCCAATAACTTACTTTGTTATTTGGCACCTGTAGATCATATCACAACATGCAATCACGGTTATGGAAAGGGGTTTGACCTGTTGCCCACTGATCACGCCTACCATTGGTCAATGCGCGATCTAGGTTCCTTCACAGCGGATTTTTCAAATTATGAATTAAGGAATTGCACGGTATTGGTATATGTACTTGAATATGGAAAATTATATTTCCATGAAATCATGACCTGTGTATAGTGATCCGTGGGTTATAGTTATTTTGTGGGGGGAGGTAAGAGGTAGAACTGGCGAAGGCGAAATTTTTTTTCGGTCGGAAAGATATGTTATTGAGTCAAAACACACTGTCAATATGTAACTAAATTTATCATTCAGAATTGCTGAGTTTTTGGACTTTGTCCATTGTCCGGTATTCTAAAAACCTGAGAATACAAAGTTTCAGAAACTGGGTCTGTTTCCGTCCTCAGATGAAAGGGAGACACCTACTCTGTTAGGTCACTTAAAAAGAGGTGATTGAGGTTAGTGTTATACACCATCGTCAGAGGCCCTTAGAATCAACTAAAGTTATACTCTGCCTTCTAAAGTGTACTGAAATTTGTTTTAAAGTCAGCGTGAACGTGATTTCAAAGTGCTTTGTTAGGTGTCCTAGGCGGTTCAAAGAAAAACAGAGGGTTTAAAGGTGACACAACATTTATCCCAAATGCATTTTTTGTGATTTTGCACCTTTTCATTATTATTATTCTTAGTGGGGTGAGACTGAGCGCACTTGGTACGGCGGCTACTACTGGTCTATTGTACCAGCCCCAGATGATAGATGATGGTGACTGTGGAGCATGGTGGAGCTATTGGTGGAGTGAAGAATTGCAGGAGAAATCAAAGTACTCGGAGTAAACATGTCCCTGCGCCACTTTGTCCATCGTAAATCCCATATTACCGGACTGAGACTAGAACTCGGGCCGCCGCTGTGGGAAGCCAGCGACCCCAGCGACTACCTGTCTGAGCTATGGTGCGGCCACACCGATGTACTACCATCTAGTGCGAAAAGTATTAACCCAGTAAGTTTCAATTTCCTACTGATGTATGAATGCCGGAAATATGTTGATAGTAGAATCTAGTAACACTTTAATGATAGCGTATCGCTATTCGTCATTAACTGGCAATCACACACCTTCGATCGTCCCCGGGCCCTCTTTTATACGGATTTGTACATGAAATAGCTGGGTTAACAATAAATGGTGATTACACAAGCAAGGGTATTTGAGTTACATGGAATATCATATAATGTCTCCGTATTTATATGCTGACAAAGATTACGAAATCTGCATATATTTTCCCCATAATTTTCTAATATTAAAACTACAGATAAAGAGTGAAACCGTTGAGAGTGCCTTCACAGCAAATTTAGACTGATACGAACTTCGTTTCAACGTAGATCTAAAGCTGTCCTTTATATACTTACATAAATGTTGTATTTATAGGCCTATAGTTATTCTGACGACCAAAATATTCCTTTAAATGGAACTCGAACTCTTATTACTTTTATCATAAAAGACCGCCATTGAACTCTATCCTCAACCATTTCAATTTCACGTATTCACAGCGCATTCCTCTAAGATCCATTTTGATACTATTCTCTCAAATGGCCCCCGATCTCCAAAGTAACCAGGACTTTCCACTCTTGTACCGTTAATTTAAAGCAATCTGTGACTCTGTATATAATAATACTCTCAAAAGCTCAACGTTAATTTTAAACATCTCAATTGGGTGCTGAAAATAGATAAAACTCGAGAGAAGGAGAACGTATCTTTATAAACATTATTAAATGTCAACTTTATTATTTTAAATCGACAAACAGATCAATACAATTAACACACAATAAACTATATAAACATTTTCACGTCGATCTGGACGGCTCTAAATGTGTAAAAGTATTATTGTAACAATGCGGGGATTTGTTTGAAAGATATTAAAAGACTATAAAGATTAAATATTTTAATAGTTACTGGGATAAAATAGAAGTAATTTTCTATAATACCAGCACCAAATCAATCTTCCAATTCCTGTAATTGAGTTTTATTGCTTCCAGTATCAATGTCTGTTCACACCAAGATAACACTGTTTATGGACATTATTTGTAAACTATCTTAACACCCTCGTTGTTCACAGAAGATACTGTTAACCAATATTCTTGATATTTATTACACATTACATTGCTTTGGAGCGGGACATTATGGACGTTCATGCATTTTTTGCAATACTTTTTAAGCAAGTCTAGTAACATAACCAAGAAATGTAACAATTAAATACCAAGTTTCACAAATATTTTTCAACATTTCCCGATTTAAAAACTATTTTCTTCTTCTCTTTATAATGCTTACTACAATGATAAATATATAAACTAGTCAAAGATATAATCAACGTGGACAAAATGTTTAAAAAAAAGGAAAGGGTTTAAACGAAGTCGGTTGATACTCTGAAAAAATGCTAACATTAACAACGTTATTAAACAACATGACTTGACTCTACTGTGGATATAACATGAATAAACCTGTAAAGTCTGGTCTTCTGTGATGTAATGTCGTGTAGTGCGGTAGAAGTCCGCCGAAGTTTCGGAGGCAGCATGTTCCTCTGAAACATCGGTGAATTTCTGCCAAATTAATCGGTGTCACATCCCAAAAGATAGTACTCATGACAGTCACTGTTGTGAGAATCTCAAATCCAGCATATTGGAACCTGATTGCTGTTGGATTCCTGAGTCTCTGTTTTTTTATTCTTAAGGAGTTAGATAGTCTTCAGTGTTGCAGCTTGGTTAATTTTTTCTTAGCAGCAAAGCTTTGAGGTGAACGTCCCGAGATTTGCTGATGGACCCGTTGTTCAATTTGCTGTGAATAAGAACACAACGCCATTACAATATACAGCAAGGATGCCATAAAGAAGAAAAGAAGAGAAATTAGAAATACCTTGGAAGATAAACAAAATGCTCTGAAATCGTTATACAGTTCTAATTAATATAATGCCTTTTAATAAAAGCCTTGTTTGTTTATTACGCCATATTACTATTGTCTATGACGTGAAGTCAAAAATTTAATTACTTTTTGAATTGAAAGGAATATATTTCCCTCGGTTTTGCAAACACAGCTGCTGTCTCTACATGTTTTAAGCGTCCTACCCTATTTAGCAACTGCTCTTTCCGCATGATTACGAGTACAGTTTCATATTTTACAGCCTCTGTTAAGTTCACCAATTAAGATATGAACTACATAAGTAAAACACGAAATACAAATTTAGCATATAGTAAGTAATTCACAAGTTCTGTTCTTCAGTTTGTTTTAATGCACTTGCAAGTGGAATTAAATTATGAAATTCAGTAGGCCTATAGGTAATTGGGCTATGAGTTAATCCAAGAAAAATAACAAATCTCGTAAATATATCATGGAGTTGAATCACACTTTCCCACCTCCTGAAGTGTTGGTCACAGACAGAAAAATATTGAAATTCTAGACACTTATTTCACTAATGTGTTACAGTAAATAAGTGACGAATTATCACGTTCTCAATATTAGCCAATGGTTCTCAAATTATCATCCAAAGAATTTTGTTTTATAAACCACACCTTGGAAATAAAGGTATAAATAACAAGTGTTTGTTTCTTTTTTTGGGGGGGGGGCTTTGTTCAGTAGAATATGGAAGAAATAAGGAAATTATTGAATTTGGAAATATTATATAGAGTTGTTTAAAAAAAGACCGCCTCTGTGGTCTATCGGACAGATTTCCTAGCTACAGATCCAGAGGCCACGGGTCCGATTTCCGGAGCTACCAGTCTTTCTGAGAAGTATTGGGTCTGGAACGGGATCCACTCAGCCTCGTGAGGATAAGTGAGGAGCTACCTGAATGGAAACGTAGAGGCTCCGGTCTAGAAAACCGAAATTAACGGCCGTGGGGATCCGTTACGCTGAACACGCGACACCCTCTACCCACTAAAGTTGTCACTAACGTCTCCGACAAGCGGCGGTCGCTCGGTCGGTATCGTTCCCTTGCGGACTAAGCCGCGGAGTTAAAAAAAAAAACTATTCACAAGAATCAGTTTTTATTATATAAACCGCGACTTTGAGACAAAAGAAATGCAAAGAAGGAACAATTCAAGTTTGCATGTGGGCCTACGAGTATGCTTAGAGAGAGACAAAACACTTCGGAGAACAAAACTCGGTGGGTGCACTGAAAGATGATTTTACAAAATATATTTTATATGTACAGAATACCTTTCATTTATTATTCGATCCTTTACCGTGTTTTGAACACTTAAATTGCATACAAAGCGTGTCAACCCAACTTCATATACAATTTACAGGTCACACGAGCAATTTAGCCTTTACTATGGAAATGTTAATTATTAATTATTATTGGGGTTCTTACCCAATGCAGGAATTGATCTATTGAGGGGCGATAAATCTATGAATGTTCTGCTACCAATCTACATTAAGGTCACAATCTTTGTAGCAAAATAATGGTCATTATGGGATGTTTATTCTTACCCTCTGTATCGACTTGTTTCTTGCATGTCTAGCAAGAAGCTCAAGTTCGCTAAGGTATGCAAGACTTTCAGATTTGAATATTGCACCTTCCAATTCCGGGGCAAACATGGGCAGACTGGTCTTCTTTCTCAGCAGAGACTTGGCGACCCAACGGGTGGTGCTGGGAGCAGACTGGGAATGATAACCTGTTGTGGACACATCATTCATTGTTTCGACGCCATCTTGTAGTAACATCTTCAATGGCGGTACTCGTTTTATTCTTTTATACATGTTATTGTTATTGTATTGAACAATATCAATGTTAACTGAGTTTTTATTTGAAGCTGATCGGATATTGCTGGGTTCTCGAACCCCAGCAACATGTTTGATGTCCTGTAGCTCTGCCTTGCTGCTTCCTGGAGGAGAGAACACGGAAATGATGGTAGCAGAGCCTGCAAAGGGACAGAAGGGGCTGGCAGGCTACCAGGGAATGAAGACTCATTTTCCTTACCCTGTGAGGTGACTTCCTCTGGCACTGGTGAGGCACACTCACTGTTTTCCCACTGAACACACACCGCAGGAGTACTGGGAAGCAACACCTCCACTTCCTCAATAGACCTGCAGGTTTCTGAAGGAGTTTCTATTGTGTTTGGAGATTCGAGGTCTTGTATTAGCTGCAAAGCTGCTTCAAGTTCTTTGGAAAATTCTGCATCACTGCCTTTATGCCCTGTCCTCTGTGACTCATCTTGAAATGACTCCTGACAGCTGCTGTCTTTAGGGTCACTGTATGTCTTGTCTGGCGAGTTCTCTACAGCTGCACATTCACTTGCACTTTGCGGAGAGGGTGGCTGTTGAAACATTTTCTTTTTGGACACAAACGCTTGCTGCAGTTCAACCATCAGTGATGCATACTGAACTTTATCTGTGAAGTCAAAACCTTCCACGACGCACAGTCTATCCTTGGTGAATATCTCACTTCGCGGACGTACAGGCTTAGGACTGACAGCTGTACCGGAAGACTCTGCGTTCAGACTTATTGCGGTATTTAGTCGTGATCTGTACAGCGTGGGTTCAGTGAGCCTCTCCAGACATTCATATATCGGAGGGTTTGTGCTCGAGTCCTGGGAGGAACTTTCGGAGAGTGCGGCGGGGGATGGTGTCCTTGAGAAACTCTTCATATAATTTAAGCTTCGATTCCCGTTACTTTCTTCATTCACTTGTTCCACACGGACTATCGGGTTCACAACACACATTTTTGGTTCATTGTTGTGAGTTCTGTGAACATCTATCCTAGCAGCCTTGTGGTTCTGCGTGTTGACAGTCTTGTTTCTTTCGTTTACTTGCACATTTTGGAGCTTCAGATATGGCGACTCGTTCTTGGAGGGTCCAGCAGTGTCTGTTTCAAAAACCCAGGACTGGGCGTATTGACTGTAGATACTGTGAGCATGCTTCCCTACAGAGCTTGTCTTTTTCTGAAACAAGAAAACGAAATTAGTACACACAAAATAATGTTTAATTTATTTTCGCACTCTTCATGACGTTGTACTCAAATTTAACTTTCCATTAGTCAAACTCCATAACAAGTTCAACTTAGAATTCAAAGAGTAATCGTTAAGCACACAAAATCAAGATATTGTGTACTTCAGGTCCATTAACTTTCTACCACTCAAAATTATCGACCGGCAGACTGCATTGTGAAGAGTATTCCATAAAGTAAAAAAGTCAATTTGCTTCTGTGCGTAAATAATTAGGTACGACCCCATGAAGACGTGTGGGGGAGTGGAGGTATAGCTGCACCACTGTTGACATCGGCACTGGAAGGAGTTGAGTGGTTAGCTTCACGCTCTGGTCACTTTAACCCCTCTAGGAAAGAGCTGTAATAGGAGGCTGGTTGGGCCCTGGAGCCGGCTTTGACTCTTAAGAGTAGAGAAAAACCTTTCCTCTACCGGTAATCGAACCCCGGCCGCCCAGCCCATAGCCCGTCACTGTACACACCGAGTTTTCCCGGCTGAAGGATATTCCATAACCAGTTGATAAATCAGTATTATGGATCATGAAGTTCCATCATCTGGTTCATAAAATTATGTCATTGGAAGTAACCCCGAGCCAATTCAAATTTTCAGAATGTTCTTTTTGTAAAAGTCATCCTTAATTCTACGATTAAGTCTTGCAAGTTTTCTCTTCCATGTGTTTTTGAGACAAAACAAAATAGTCCTTTTTTTACATTTCATAATGCATACCGGTATGTAAAATTAATTAGTACGAGCTTAAAATATAAATTAATAAAGTTTATGTTTTGAAGAGCTGTATATACAAGTATTTAAGGACGCTGTATAAACTGCTTATTCTATATATCATCTAACTAAAAATTACAGAATGATTTCAAATATTGGTTGAAAATTATGTAACAGGAAGCTTCGTAGTCAATTTCTAATTTGCGCGGGAGGACGTACCACGAACAACTTCGAAATTAATCCTATAAAATAATGCGTTCTATAATCGAAAATCCGACAACATATGCCTAATTGACTTCTTACATTTAAATTTTCATGCAATGAATATGTGTAGCATTATCTTACTCTGGGCAATATGTACTCTATATCTGAAACTTGCTCATTAAGGCTCTTCTTTGGAGGCCGAGATCTTTGCATCGAGCAAAATGTAAACTGACTGTCCAAAAATGACGTCACAATGGCAACTGCAGTACTTATACTTGTCGTCACTCGGGCTGAAATGAAAAAGACGGCCTTATTAAGCGAAACTGATACATGTAAATTAAACTGTCAACTTTTATACACCGATAATTTGTGCATTCACATGTCAGTTCCTTCAGTTATATAGTAATCAGAATTAACTACAAGGTGCTACATCGAATAATATCTTCCACCTTTATAAATCACTTGCAGATAAAGAGTTTGTCCCTTCGTTATTTATATAATTAAGCACTAAACCCATAAAAGTATGGGGGAGTTGAGTTTTGGCTCCATCATTCTTAATTTCGGCACTAGATGAAGGCAAGTAGTCAGTTTCACGCCCCTGCCGCTTTAATCCTAGGGATACAGCCAAATGTACCCACTGGAGAGGAGGCTTCCTGGGCCCCAGAGCCGGTCTGGCCTCTATGGAGGAGAGAAAAATCTCTTTCCATTCAGGTAATCAAACCACGATCGTCCAGACCCTAGCTCATGCGCTATACAGACTGTGCTATCCCGGCTCCTAAAGCCTTTACAGAGAACACTACACCAAGAACAGCAACATACACTAATAATAATAATAATAATAATAATAATAATAATAATAATAATAATAATAATAATTTTCAGTTTGAAAAATTTCCTCGTAGTCTTGCGTCACTCTGTGTCTGATGTTCAAACTTGCTGCATAGGTCTGCTTCTCTGTCCATTTTTTCCCAAATTATTGCAGACGCAACGTACGCAATTGCGTACTCTGTAATATGTGACATACGTCAGACGTACATGGGACATAACTGATATGACAAGCTGGGCACGTGTCCAGAATGTCGAACTAATTAACTCCATGTAGGAGAGCCCGTACTGAGAAGCCTGTATTCTAGCAGCTATTGACGAAATTTCCCGCCTCTTATGGAATCTGAACGTTTATGGGCGTTTTCCCGAGAACCTTCCACTGGTTCCCATTTTAAGTACAGATGAATCCGGTCCACATGACCACATGATTTTTCTCTAAGAACTATTTTAATATTAACCTCTCATCGAAATCATTAATTTAAAAATATTTTGAAAACGGATACATAACACAATATGTGACAAGGAGACATGGAGCATTTTGGCAAACACGTTCTTGAATTACTTCTAAAGAATTCATACATATAATTTTAGAATTGATGGTTCATTTCCTTCAATCTGTTTCGTTGATCTTCTCATATATTACTTTTGTGCAGCATATCCTCTATTTAACTGACTAATGGGGGGGGGGAGAATGTGTCCGATAACTGCGAGTGTTCGTTAAATCCAAATATCCGTATTTTTCGCAAATACGTGCGACAGTATCCCCCGATTATAATTTTTAAACCATGTTGGTTCCTTTTTTTTTCTTTGTCATCGGTGTATTAATTAAACAGAATTAACACCGAACAAACCAAACACATCGCAATTGAAATTTCATTTGCGATAGTAGATTTACTTGTATGAACTACCTGTAGATAAGGCCGCGCCATAGCTCAAGCGGTTATTATTATTATTATTATTATTATTATTATTATT